CATAAACCAAATTGCTAGAAGGATTATATGTTCAATTGAAGAAGAAGAAGAAGAAGAAGAAGAGAGCTAATGAAATCTGTGTGTCTCTTCTCATAGAGAAGAGTTGTTTATATAATAAATGAAATTAGTGTTTTCCTCTTAGAGTTGGCCATCATGGGTTGCTTTGGAAGCAAGTCAGGGTAATCCGGATTTTAATGAGGATTTAGGGTTTCCAAAATTAATGCATTTCATCAGTTTTACCATAATCACCCTCAAAAATTCGTTTTTCCCACTATGTTTCCAAAACTGATGAATTTCGTCAGTTTTACAAGCTGGACCCCAGCCATGGACGCTACTAGGTAGGGAAAATCTAAGAAAAAATCAATGTTCTAAATAACGTAAGGCGTAACTTGGCGGCAATGTCAAGCTTCAAACTTTTTCGAGCCTTGGCGAGCCACGTTGTTTGTAAGGCGTGACTTAAAGCAATAATTTTGTATATAATTAATATTTTTATATGTATTTTCAACTATTATTCATTTTTATACATATATATGAGTTAAGGCGGTGTTTTGGTAAAACTTGATAGTATGTACAAGCCTTGGAGCCTTGGCGGAGCCATGAAGAGTTTTTTAGAACCTTGGAAAAACTCAAACTATTATCCACCAATGCTCGAAAAAACCATTATATTATTTTTGTGTACGATAAAACCATTTTATTTGTCGAACAAACTACTGTTTCGTTACTGGAAAATCTTTGATAGCCGGTTACGCAACATTTTTTACATCAAAAAAACCCAACCTGTTATCTTCTAATGCTCAAAAAAACCATTATTTATTTTTTGTATAAAAAAACATTTTATTCTCCGATTATGTACAATAAAACCCTTTTATGTTATGATTTTATACAATAGACAAAATTGCAAAAATGGTCCCTGTGGTATGCATTTTTTTGGGGTTTCAGTCCAAACCTCGACTTTTTTGGATTCATAGTCCTTTTGGCCTAGTTTTACATAGAAATGGTCCCTCGACTTAACTTCCGTTAAGTTATTGCTGTTAACTCCCTCATGTGCATCTCACATGAGGGTATATTTTTCTTTTCACATATAAATGACCATTTTTACACCTAAAAATATATATCTTTTTTTTAATATTAATTAATACTTATTTATTTATTTTAATAATTAAAAAATAAAAAAGGTCTCTCTCTCTCTCTCTCTCTCTCTCTCTCTCTCTCTCTCTCTCTCGTACATCGTCTTCTACATAGTAACTAAACCCACCGTCTTCTACATTGTAACTCATACATACACATACATACTCTAAAAATCGATTATGCAAATCATTTTTTATTTTGTTTATGAGCCAGACTAACACCAACCACATCAATCATCCCACCACACCTGTTGTGAATCGGATTTCAAGATCATACATTTTCTTCTTCGCGAGGGTATATATTGTTTTGTTTTATACATGCTTGTGAGGAGGGTGATGCTCTGTTATGGATAATCGATTCAGAAGGGAATGAAAAGAACCTGAAATGTTTCATCAAAAGTGCAGAGAAATGCCAAACCTTCCAGCCAACTAGATAGAGCAGGAATCAAACCTCATATAAGATCTCTATAAGCTCATCAACTGCAAGAGTTTTAGAGAGAGAAAGACTAACTTGTTTCTATAAGATTTTGGGTTTTGGAGATATACTGGTCCGTTTTCATAGTTTTTTACATACATCTGAATTCCAAAATTTATGCTCCTAAATGAGGATCAGAGGATTTCGTTTTGCCCAGATTTATATGATCTTACAATTCTTCGTTTTTCTCCAGAATAGGAGGTTCGGTTCAGCAACAGTCAATCGATGGATGATTGGATGGGGATAATCTCCAAACCATCTTACCCATTTTCCTTTCTCTGATTCCAAACCCCAACCCTTCCTTTGCATCTCCTTCTTCTTTAGAATCAATAATTGTGGAGATTTGGGGTTTTAATTTCAAAGGTGTGCATTACAGGACCATCAATCAAAACACCGCCAGAAGATGTAATGCACCGAGATGGAGGTGAATCCAGTGACGATTTCAAAGGGAAACACCGAATCTGAATCTCCGTCGATGGAAGATGCTTGGGGGTGATGAAAGGGGATTTTTAAATAGAGAGATGCGGGGTTGTGGTGGTCAAATGAGTCTCTAAACAAATGTCGTATATCCTCTACTATACCATTTTGTTCTTGTTGGATATTAATGGTGGATGGGGATTATCGATTTATTTGGGGAGAGAAAGAGAGAGAGAGAGAGAGAGAGAGAGAGAGAGAGAGAGAGAGAGAGAGAGAGAGAGAGAGAAAGAGAGAGAGGCCTTTTTTATTTTTTAATTATTAAAATAAATAAATATGTATTAATTAATATTTATATATATATATATATATATATATATATATATATATATATATATATATATATATATATATTAGGTGCAAAAATGATCCTTTATATGTGCAAAGACAAATATACCCTCGTGTGAGATGCACATGAGGGGGTTAACAACAATAACTTAACGGAAGTTAAGTCGAGGGACCATTTCTACGTACAAACTAGGCCAAAAGGACCATGAATCCAAAAAAGTCGAGGTTTGGACTGAAACCCCCAAAAAATGCATACCACAGGGACCATTTTTGCAATTTTGTCTATACAATAAAACATTTATACCCCCTTTATGCCCCATATGTGATAACGTTGGTATGAATTTGGTTGAATAAATGATTAATTATCAATTTTTTGTTCACTTGTTACATTTAGTGAATACTATGTTAATGGAATTTCATAAAAAAATCACATGCCTAATTTGATGAATTGTAGAATTGTGTTGGTTAATACGTAGTGGGTTTAGGGTAGTAAATAATATTTTACCGAAAACCTTATATGGATACGTTATGGTGCATATATATATTTTTAAAAGAGGACACATAGAGAAGAGCTTAAATCATTGTGTTGTAAGCCGCCTAGCGTATCTAGAAGATCCCAGGACACATGGTATATGTTCACTGTTTCCATAATGTTTGTAGACTGGATTTATGTGGGTCTATAAACATCAAGTTGGATTTGGCTACATACAAGGTACTTTTGATTATGCTTAAGCTCTTCCTTATAGGTCCTCTTAAAAAAAAGGCACCCTAAACTGAAGATAAGGTTTTAGGCAAAGTATTATTTACTATCCCAAACTCACTACACATCAACCAACACAATTCTACAATTCATCAAATTAAATATGCGATTTTTAATGAACTACCATTTTCATAGTATTCACCAAATGCAAAACTAAAGAACAAAACATGGGTAATTAATCATTTATTCAACCCATTCATGCTTAAGAATAAAGACATTTCTAATGACTTAGTTATCATAGTACAACGAGTGAGAAGACAAACGGCCAACAAGCTGCGTCGCTAAGCCTTTTTGTATGGTAAAGTCAATTCTTTTGAACACATGTTGATTTTCCATGCATGATTTCTTATGTTTTGTAGCCTTACATGTAACAGCTTTCAAAGCAACATGTCCTACCTTGAAACCCCCGACCCTGAAGCCCACAATAGGGGATACCTCTGTAAGATCCACAGAATCAAAACGTCATGCGGTCTAAGGGTTGACCTTCCTTCTGTCAGGTCAGTCAAGAAATTCACAGGTGTCTCTTTCTTGGCGAGAACTCCGACACGCTTAAATAAGTCAAACAAAACATCCCTAACCATATCATGCTTGTATTTGAACCATGAGAGTTCTTTACAATAAACTACATGCTCTCCAAATGAGTTGAACATGTTTTGCGGCACACCAGACATATCTCGTCATCTGGAAATATCGGGATCATGAACAGATATTTGAGGATAGTACAATAATCCACATTAGACATATGTTGGTCAAGCCCATCTATATGGATAGCGAGAAGAAATCTTAAGCATGTGGTGCACGTTAACACTAGAAACCTACTTTCTACCAAGCTTTCATGTCAAAACGCACTTCCATATTTTCGATAATTTTACTAAAAATGGCACCCACTGGTATATTCTACGATTTAGGAGGGCAATTTCCTTAGTAGTAAAATTGCTAAGGTTAATGTCTAGAAGCTTATACGTAGAGAAACCAAGGCACAAGTATACTCAGAATCTATACCACATATGTTATCATGTAAGATGTGGTCTTACAACACCTAAGATTGGATCATTGAGTAAACAAAAGCATAAGAAATAGCCTTTACTGTCGAGTACAAACCCAAACCACGAAATCTAGCATACCATAACAGGGGAAATAAATGTTTTATTGTATAAAATCACAACATAAAGGGTTATATTGTACATAATCAGAAAACCAGATTGTGTTTTCTGATGTCAAAAATAGTACATAACCGACTATCAAAAGTTTTCCTGTTACGAAGCATTAGTTTAGACATAGAAAGATAAAATGGTTTTATCATACACAAAAACAATATAACCTTTTTTTCGAGCATTGATAGATAAAAGGGTGGATTTTTCTATAATTTTCCCTTCTAGATATATAGTAGATTTCACTTTATTAAGAAATACTAAGCATTGAATTGAATACACTAAAAGACTTTTCTCAAAAGCGTGGAGACGAGGAGACTTGATCCAAAAGGAAGTAAGGTAACTGTCACTCCGATAATCGTTCTTGCAAAAACTCAATTCAAAGAAACCCTTGCACTCCAATCCATTTTTGATATGGGAATTTAGTAATTGCTTTAGCAGAGCAAACTAAGAGCAGAAGCGCAAATGGTTTATGTGTGTACTCAGTTTTGTTTTTAAACCCCACGCTAATTCAAGCTCTACAAAACTTGGTTTAAAAAAGCGTGTTGCACTCTGTTGCGATTAGGTCTTGGAGACCGATGCACGTTGCGAGATGCGATTTGCAAACGCATCACATAGGTGATACACACAAGTAGTAATTACTAAATATATATATGTGTTTACTTAAAGTAGAAAGAAAAATTCATGTTTACTAACTAAAACACCATAAACATTAAACATATAATATGAAACCAAAAACTAATATCCATGCCACATGGAAAGTGAAAACAATGACTCATTGTTAGCAGGATCTATGTTGTGGTCCAATGATTCATTGTTATAAGAGAAAAGAATGTTAAGAGAAGAAGAGAATGTTGAGCATTGTTAGTGACTTAGTGCTAACTGTTAACCGTTGGATCAATAAATAAGAGGGAGGATCAAGAAAGAGGAAGGAAGATAAAAACGTACTAATCGATAATGACAGATAGATGAAAAAGTTTGTCGTGTGATCAAGGTGTTGTGCCAGTTAGTATTCTTATACACACTTCTCTAGGGTAGAAGTAGGGCTGGCCAATAATTTAACAATTGCATTTGCATGGGCTTTATTAGATTTTAAGTATTTTTAAGTAAAATAGGCCAAACACAGAGATGTGACAATGCACTTAGATGCGAACGCATCACCTCACACCATGTAGGTCGCTTCGCCCCACACCTCTGTTGCGCTTAGGCCATCACAACGCAACACAACCTCGCAACGGTCGCAACATGCGCGCTTTTTTAAAGCAAGCAAAGAAAAGATACTCGGAACTTAAAAATAATCCTATTCAACCCAACCCCAAGCAGCTACAAAACACAAGTTCCATCCATACAGAATTAATACACCGACAAAAAAAAAACAGCAAACAAAATTCGAAAATGTTTTAAAGTGTCTTTTCAGTCAAAACCCAAAATTACTTTCATACCCTTCTTCCTTAGCTCAAGCTTGTTTGTATCCCTAATAAATGATTCAACTTCATTTAACGTCTTCGCATCCCTCTTCCACGTCCGCCACGCATGCCACCGCCACCACGGCCTCTCCCCATACCAGCGGCATCGCTTTGTGCACTCTCCGACTACAATTCAAACCAATTTTTATTATTATTAACAAGCAACTATCACCATCTTTTACTTTAAGGTTGTGTAGGGTTATTTCTGACAAAGTAAGAAGGGCATCAACGTCTTTTTGCTTAAGAGAGACTTCCTGTCTTTTACTTTAAGGTTGTGTAGGGTTATTTAGTTAATAGTTACCTTTGGATTCTTCACTGTCTCATCAACACTTAGTATAAGGCATGCTGCCTCAGTTGCAGCATTTATAGCATTTATCTGCAGTAAGTAACAATCAAAGCAAGTTACTTTAATTTTTTTTTTTTTTTTAAAAAAAAAAGTCTTAAACAACATCAACAAAGAAAAAAGTTAGTTACCTTTACGACTGCTGGCTCCCACACAAAGTTGGCAAAGGAATCTGAAATTCCACCTGTGTTGATATCCACTCCATAAAGAGCACCCTCACCTGTATTTATACATTTAGAGAAAAAAAAAACATAAATAAAAAAAATGTAATGCAAAAGAAAAAGAAAAAGAAAAAGAAAAAGACCAACCAGCAGCAAGTGCATGTTTCTGCCTCAGCTTGTTAAGTACATCAGTTGCATCAAATCCAGCATTATCACAAAGTTGACGTGGGATAACCTGTTTATTAATTATTATAATTATTATTATTATTAGATAAACAAACCATAATTTTAAAAAACCTACCTCAAGTGCTTTAGCATAAGCATTTATAAATAGCTGGGACTTTCCAGCTATATTCCTTGCATGTTGCCACAGGTACCTGCTTATCTCCATCTGCAGTTTTAAAAAAAAAAAAAAAAAAATTCAAACTATGACATCATCATAAACACTAAATTACTTTACACTTTCTTATTAAAATACAATAAATTACATCGATTGCACCACCGCCAGCAACCACCGTGGAATTCTTCATGGCCCGCCTTACTATCATGATTGCATCATGTAAACTCCGTTCTGCTTCCTCAATAAACTATTCATCATTCAATCAAACTTTTAATATCAGAATCAAAATCCACTAAAAATAACAAAATGACTTTAGAAAAAATATTTAAAAAAAAAAAAAAACAGACCTGATCAGCTCCACCTCGAAGAACAATAGTGGCTGTCTGACCTAAAGGACATCCACTAAATATGTTGAATCGTTCGCTTCCAACTTGTTTCTCCTCAAAAATCTCACAAGATCCAAGAACCTTTTCCAAACATTAAATTAAACATTTAAAAAATAAAAAACAATAATAATAATATTATAAAGTATAAGAGTCAAGAGGCTGACCTCATCTATAACATTGTTAACAGATGTCTGTACAGTAGCTCCAGTTGCAGCTGCAACTCTGTGCAGATCATCTTCAGCAACTCTTCCAGCACAGAAGATATCTCTATCTGCAAAATACTGATATAACAAAAAAAAAACATTTAAAAACTGAATTTCATTTGTGGAAAAGTCAAAAGAGAGTCAACCTGTGTAGCCAGATCACCAATAGCAAGACGTGAAAGAACAATCTTGGCACCACTCTTGACACATTTATCCAACTTATCATAAATGATATTCCATTCTGCATCAACTATAGACTGATATTGCAATGGATCTGAAAGTCTGTTCATAATCTCAAATGTCAAATGTCAAATCTTAAACAAACTAAACGAATAAAATTAACCATTTATCCCCACCTTATCTCAGCATTCTCCTTTTCTGATTTTAGTTCCAGTTCAATGTTCAACAAAAGTATCTTTGGATTCAAAAACTTTTTCGGTTGTTGTTCAAATCCAGCATATGAAAAAGTCTTCTTAAATGCAACACCATTCACAAGAAATGAATCCCTCATTGTCCCACCTTGCACCTACAAAGAAGCATAAATTATAGTTTAGTGGTAATTTTTTTACATGTTTATAAAGTTTAGTGTTGAGAATTGTTAAAGAATTCACACCTTTTTTATTCCAATCATGTTCAACCTATCTTCATTTCCAATTGCAATAACAGCATCCACCACCATTTTTGCAAAAAAGTCCTTCTCTCCTCCTATTAATTTGGAAGAGAGTGTTGTAGCAGCACATTTAGCTAATAAGCTTCTCTTTTCATCTAGACTTTTTCCCTCTATGCTTACAGCTAACTCCTTGATCTTCTCAATTGCCTGTAATAGAAAGTTTGAATTCAAAATGTTGAAAAAACAAGACCTAAATCTGGAACATATAAATACAATCATGCTATATAATTAAAAAAGAAAAAAAAGATTCAGGAAATTTACCATAAAGGAAGCTGTTCGATAACTTCTTATGAGATTTTGAGGGTGGACCCCATCTTCAATGAATGGTTTTGCCTCCTTCAAGAACTCACCAGCAAGAAGAACTACTGTAGTGGTTCCATCACCAACCTGAATGCAAATAAATAGAAATTATATTTGGAGTACAAAATCGGTATTCACAATCACAAGATTGTTGAGTTTGAAACTTGAATGAGAACATATATACAGTCATATAAGAAGAACTAACACAAAATATAACTACTTTCCATAACTATTTACAAGAAAGAAATCAAGTTCTTGGAAGCACAAAGAATGATATGATAAAAACTTATAATCCATTTTATATGAATAAAATGCCAATTTGTACAACACGAATACAAAAAGGATATAGCCACTTTATAAAAATAATGCACATTCATAATAAAAAGTAAAAACATAGCACTCTAGAAGAAATGAAGTGATCAATCCTACCTTATAAATTACAATGAATAAGAAGATCAAACCTTTTTCGTTTCAAACACCCGATTAGAATAAGGTTTGATTCTCTACTTAACACAAACTTTGTTCCATATGCAGTATTTAGTGTGTTTCAAATTTACTTACTAAAAAGCTCTAATCATAATTCATACCAATACTTGAGTTCAAAAGCAACTTGTTTGACATACAAACTTAAGGATTACCTCCTTTTTTTAAATATGTGCAAACTTTCAAATCCTTGCAAGGTAACACGTTATCAAGGTATCTACATTACTAAGATCAAGTTTTCTTTCTCCAATCAAGTGTTGTCCGGATAAATGATTTTAGAAAATATTTGAGCAATTGACTATACACTTGAGAAATGATAGAAAAAATTTAGTATGAAAAGTTAAGGACTTAATGAGGAAAGACTCACTTCCCCGATGTTCTCTATTAAGTTGTTTACTGGTGTCTAAACATATGCATTCAACACTCTTGAGTTGATACAATGGACTAAAAGCACATCTGAAAGCTAACCACATTATCAAAGCACTAGTAACTCATCCTTTTCAATCCAAACATGTTTTCTACCCTACATTTGATATATAATACCCTTGTAAGCAATTTTAAGGACAATTTGACCACCTACTTTCATCTAATCTGCCCTATAAGATGACTCCAAGTGGTAACCATTTTGTCAATTGCTAGAGCCAGGTTAAATATTCAATCACAAGATCTAAAGTACAACACCATTAAGATAACAATAACAGATATATCGCCATGGGTGTTACTATAACTGTGCTATAGTAGTTACCTCTGAATCTTGTGACTTGGCTATATCAACAAGGATCTTAGCAGCGGGGTGAACGATGTCAAGAAGCTTCATGATGGTGGCGCCGTCGTTAGAAATAGTGGTGTTACCTTTATCATCGTGGATCAACTTATCCATACCTCTCGGACCTAGGGTTGTACGAACGACATCAGCCACCGCCATACACGCATTGATGTTGCTTATCAACTGCGGTTTCCCTTGCGAAGTGTCTGTACCTTCTTTAAGCAGTATGATCTGGGGTTGCTGTTTATTGTACGAAAATGAAAACAAAGTTAGGCATTACATCAGTCGTAACAGTAATAATAACATAAACCCTAGTACAAGGGGAAATGGGAATATGAAATGAGATGATGATTACCATCATAGATGCCATTGCAAGTGGATTTGCGGCGGAGAAGGGTGGAGGTAATACAGGAGGTGATGGCAAATGGTAATGGTGGCGCTAGGGTTTAGACTTGGTGTATTCAGCTTCCTTCCCACTGTTGTTTCGGTGTTTAGTTTGTTTTAGTACTGCGTCTCTTGGAACATTCTTCCGTGCGCTCGAACCCGGGCTGTTAGGATTCAATAAATTCTTTGATAATTTGTTATTTTGTTTACTTATTTGTGAAAAATACATTACATTTAAATCCAACATCATTGGATTTATAAAAATGCTAATCACAAAATACCAAAATAATAGAAGTGATATTATAAAATAAGAATCGTTTTAAGTATATATTAAGATTATTAGTGTTATTTTAGCTCAATAAGTTGCATCATGTGGTTTTACATAGTCATTACTAATGTTTTGTTTTTAACATTATGGCTCCTTAAACGCTTAAACTAATTGTGAAAAAGGGTTTTAAAAAAAATGACATCATAGAACAATAAAGTTTTGACTTTGTTCCTAATTGGTCATTAAAGTTTATTTTTTTGGCAATAGATCATTAACGTATAAATTTAATTGTTAAATAAGAAAAGTAAAAAAATTCATTTCGGGTTTAACATGTTACATTCGGTCTAGATGGCCGTTTTGAATTTTTTTTCAAAATAAAAAAGTAAAAGTAAAAAAGACGTGACTTTTCTTTTCATTTTCACTTTAATATAATTTTTTTTTCAGTAATAAATAAGTAATTTACATTAAACTAATTGTCAGTTCAATACATATCGATTGTCAGTTAAATTAAAACACTCCAAGTTCGTCTTCTCCGTTCGTAACACTAACCCTAGCCGATGATTCCTATACCAACCACCGTCGACGCCTTTCTCCTCAACCTTCACTGACGACTCCTTCTCCAACCATTGTATGCGCTTTTCATCACAACCATCTCTGACGTGTTTGTGTTTGATTATAGTCTTGTGATCACCATTATAGCTCTCTATCTCTCTCTATCTCTCTCTCTCTCTCTCTCTTCATTTAAATCTAGTTCAGTGAATGTTCAATTTTACATTTGGGTTCACCGTCCTTTGATCTCTTCGAAGATGTATTTATTATAGGTTTTATGAAGTTGAGATGTAGAATGGCTGATGCTTTTCAAGAAGGGGAGTGTGATATCTCCATTTTTACGGCTAGAAAAGACCGATTTTGTTTATGTTTTATAAAAATCATAGTACCTTTTTTAATAAAAAATGTTGCGGAAGTGTTCCCAGTAAAACATGATAAATACATTATCAAGGCATTTCCGAAGAAAAGTATTTTTATTCATTTTAAAACATTTGGGATGTCATCGTCAATATAGGAACATAAGCATAAACAAAACTTACATTCATTATCACTAGTGATTTATATCTCCTTAATCTCTCAGTGTAATCTAACTTCATATCAACACCTGTGATATAAATAAAATGAGTGGGTCGGTTGGGAAACTTGGTGAATACATAGGGTTTTCAAACCACAATAATATAATTATTATATTTAATCATCAAACAATTAACCTAATTACTCATCCCCATTATCATCTTTACTCTTAAGGATCTACCCTAATAATCAACTATTTCTCATTCATTCATTTCTAAGGATTATCCTAAGGAATAGGTACAAAGTCCATCGTTGTCAATGACACAACTGTCAAGCACAGCTGCTAGTTTTATCACTTAGGCGCAACTGCTAGAATTGTGACATTCTCTATGAGGCGCAACTGCCGGTATTGTCCTTCGGGCACAGCTGCTATAATTATCTCGTTTATTGACAACATCGTTTTCAAGAGTCCACTCGCAATACATGTCAATGGGTTTTTTAGAGTACACCGGTGAACACATCGTTCACAACACCTGCAGGTTGTGAGCCTGCTAGTGTTCCACTAGACTGTCTAGAATAGTCTGTGGTTGTCATCCATATACTCTGCTAGATGACGGGGCTAGCATTTGGGAATAAGGTTTCTCACATCGTCCATCTCTCACCCTTACCTCATGGTCTATATCACCTTTCAACTCATCATCCAACCCATATTTCATCTACCCATGTTTTACCCAACATATTATGTAGATATAAATACATATACAGTTTAAATCATTTAAAACTTGTATAAAATTGTTCATCCAGCATAGATAGCAAGTATACAGATAATATGCACACATAGCACGTAGTTTATATAAAATACTTCATATCTATGTGTACGATGAAAGGGACCATTCACTCACTTGAGAAGGTGGTGACTCGGCACTCGGACAACACTTCGTTACTCTTAAAACGATTTCCTTTGACAAAACCTAGTATCATTACCACTAGGGTTTAGTCTAATTTTCACTGAGACTAATTAATAGTCTAGCTATTATTACTATTATATAAGCGTTTAAACAATGCTTATATAACCCATAATAATAGCCCAAATAAATACCATAAGGTCCTAATAACGTTACTATAATTAATTAGAAGCTATATTAAAAATAGTGTAGGCATAGCTCACTTACAGCGGATTTTATAGAAAACCGGGTTTCGCTTGGAGCAGCATTTCTGAACCGAAAGACCCTTTTTCTCGGGACCCCGGGAGCGTCAGGGCTTCCTTCGGGTGCTAGGGGGTTCCCTAGGGTTTAGGGGGTTGGAATGGGTTAGAGAGAGAAAGTAGTGAGAGAGAGAATGGATTTGGTTTGCATTGGCTGGTTGCCCTCGCAGCCCTTTTATAGGTGCCCTCTCCTCGGAACGTTGGGCATAAGCTCGCTTCATACAACACGCGTTGGATAAGGGTTGGGGCGACGTGGACTCTTCTGGACCGAGCAAGGCTAGACCGTGCAGCGTAGGGACTTTGTACGCGAAGCGTACTCGTACGCGGGGAGTCCAATGCGAGTGCTGGACGTCCGAGATGCGACGTGTCAAGATCTAAATCGAAGCCTTGGGCAACAAGCAATGGCTCAGATGTGGCCACGTCATCACCCTTCTCGCAGATTCGCAATTTTGCTTCTCGACTTCTAAAATTCATATCTTTCACATACGAGCTCCGTTTTCGACGTTCTTTATATCCACGCGTAGGCGGGAACATACTCTATGATAGTTTCATTTTTATTACTTCTTTTCATAGTTTATTTATAGTTAAAACCATCTCATTTTAGTTAATCTTCAAGCATATTTTATCTTTTTGTTATTTTTCTCCTTTACCGGGTGCTTTCCAGTCTTTTGAACTTATTTGCAGGATTTTTGTTATTGGAGGTGTAGAAGGAGTGCGGGACTTACGGAGGCTTGTGGTTTGCTTATGGACTTGAGGTGGTACAATTGGACTTGGTGTCAATATAATCAAGAAGCACATTGGACTTAGTCTTTAGACACGAACTCGAGCTATGGAAGATTGAAGGAGCATTGGATCAATCATTAAAGGCTTTGGAATGACACAAATGGGCTCTGAAGAGTTATGCATATGGGCTGAAGTGTGAATGAGAAGATTAGGCTAGATTGTATTTTAAATGGCCCAAGTCCCACATTTAGCGTGACCTACGTGGTCCGCGTGGACCCATACACGGTCTACGTGAATTGTGATGAAATGAACCCAGGTTTTGACTTGTTGACTCTATTTGTGGAAGGTTGGTAGGAGGCTTTTGGCACCTTTTTGAATCTGAAAACCAACTCCTTTTTGCTGGAGATTGGAGGTATTATTGAGGGTTATCACTTGAAGAACACACACAATTTTCTCTCAAGAAAGCTTTGGAAGATTTGAAGATTTTTGAAGACTAGTGAAATTTCTTTCCATGTTGCAACTATAACAATGTTTGGTACCACTAAACTATATTGCATTTCTTTTACTTTGGCCATGCGTGGCTAAACTTTCATTTTGTTGATTAGGGTTTAACCCATGGATGATTAGTTGCTTTGAAGACTTATTATTGTCTTGTGTTTGAAGTTTATGGAAATGTTTTCTAGTTAAACATCTTGTTGTATTTATTCATCTTTGATCATGAACTTGGATGAATGAATGCTTGTTTTTGTTGAATAATTTCTTAGTTAAGTAATGGACCCTCAAATTAGTAAGCAACAAATGGTTTATATGTTTGTTTTCATTTCATTTAGACCATGGAAATGTTTCCTCCATAATGATATTGTAAGCATTTGATTATCTTTTGGACTTGGTAACTCTTCGAACTTAAAGCTAATTGATTTTCACAAGATTTTATGCTTCATTGATTGTGTGACTTTAGTTAAGGAAATGTGTTAAGAGCTCCTCTAGCCATTTTAATATCTAAAAAGAGTTGAGGTAATATGTGCTTATGAATTGCTATAGCCAAGTTAAACCAATTCACAAGTGTGATTCCATTAAGTCTAATGATAAGTCAACCATGGCATCCATGTGGTGTATCCAAAAATCAATCAATTTCACTTAATTGAATTTAATCAAATCTTTTACTTGTCATATTTACAATCTAGCTAGTTTTAATTTTGTCAACCAATCAAAAAGAACTAAACCCCCTATTTTACTTTTATTTTTGTTTTACAAGTACTTGAACATGTGATTTACATAGAGATTTAAATTGAACCAATCTCCGTGGATACGATCCATTTGCCACTATACACTACTTTAGTGTGTAATATTTAGGGTATTTATTTTGTTGGCCTCGACAACCACCACTCTACAACTTTCGTTTAGACTCCGCCGGCTAATTTTGACTTTATTTTAAATTTTATATTTTTAACAGGCCGGGACAGGATTGGTCCGTTAAAAATCCATAACTTCTTCATCCAACGTCCGTTTTCGTCTGTCTTTTTACCGTTACGCTACTATTAACGAGATCTTAGATTCTCGTTTAGGTTGTGTTGGCTAGAAATTGCTCGATCTAATATTCGAACTCCGGGCTATACATTGCTAAGTCGAAACTTGGAAAAAATCATAACTTCCTCATGCAAAGTCAGATTTGGGCGTTCTTTTTATGGATGTTCTCGGTTTAACATATTCTATGACTTCATTTAGATCTCTAAGGCTAAAATATATTCTATCGTAAATTCACTATTTACGCTTCCCGGTGCCATGTTAGTTCCATCGCGAAACTTCGACGGGTCATATTTTATTCGTTATAACTCGGATTTCGGCGTTCTTTATATGTAATCAAACCCTTAAGATATATTCTACAACTTGGTTAAGATTATTTATTCTAAATG